CTTGACCGGAATCAAACCCAGGACCTTTCAGTCCGCAGGCTGACGCTCTATCCACTGAGCCAAACCGACTGGGGCAGAACAGGCTATATATTTAATGTTTTTTATTTATTTTAAATGTTTTTAAAATTGAATTTAGAGAGAGAGAGGGAGTGTGAGAGAAACATCCAGGAGAGAAAAACACTCCTGCACACCCTCTACTGGGAGATCCAGCTGGGCATATGCCAGGACCCGAATGGAACTGGGGACCCCTTGATGCATGGGGGCCCACTCAGACACTGAGCCACACCAGCTGGACACAACAGGCTGTTTTTCAACAGAAAGCCAGAGGTCCAAATGGCATCACTTATGCTGAAAGCCCATGATCCCACCTAGTTTGACACCTGGTAGAATGCAGTTTCCCCCTCTCCCAGAAACAATCTTAATCATCCAGTGTTAAATGGTCAGTTAAAGTACCGGGAATGTGATGTGTCTCATAATCCCTTTCCATCCCCCATAGAAAAAAGAGGCAACCTTATGATAAAAATTCTTCCAGGTGTGCCCTACCTGGCTGGGCTCAATGGGTAGAGCATCGGCCTGCGGACTGAAGGGTCCCAGGTTTGATTCCGGCCAAGGGCACATGCCTGGGTTGTGGGCTTGATCCCCAGTAAGGGGTGTGCAGGAGGCAGCCAATTAATGATTCTCTCTCATCATTGATGTTTCTATCTCTCTCTCCCTCTCCCTTCTTCTCTAAAATCAATAAAATATATTTTAAAAAAATTCTTCCAGGTCTTTTTTCCCCGAAAGAAAAGGTGTCCCTTCTCAAAAATACTCTGATTTTTAGTTTCGCTAATTGCTTCACTCCTGGAAAACCTTTTAAATAAGACCCCTGTCTTGCCCTACATGAAGGTGATGGCCTGAAATAAAGCACTCTCTTAACTTCTTAGTCCCCACCTTTCCCGTTTCTACCAATAAAAATGTTCCATTTTTACAACTCTGAGTATACCCTTCAATTTGGTAGTGGGGTGCTGCCCATTTATCAATCACTTGAAGCCAATTAGATCTTTAAATTTACTCCGCTGAATTTTATTTTTTAACACCATAAATCAATCATGGCCGGGTAAACTCATTGTTTGAGTGTCATCGTGATATGCCAGAGTTGTGGATCATACAAACACCGACCAACGAATGCATAAATAAATTGGACAAATTGATGTTCCTCTCTTTCTCTCACTGACACTCTATCTAAAGTCAATAAGTAACAATTTTACTTTAGCTGGGTCCCTCAGCGGGTTAGAGTGTCATCCCAATATGCCAAGGTTGTGCGTTGGGTCTCTGGTCTGGGCACATAAAAGAATCTACTAATGAATGCATCAGTGAGTGGGCCAAGCCCTGGCTGAGTGCTCACTTGGTTGGAGCACCTCCTGTACACCAAATGTTTGCGGGTTCGATTCCCAGTCAGGGCGCATACCTGGGTTGCAGGTTTGATCCCCAGTTGGGGCACATAGGGGAGTCAATGGATCAATGTTTCTTCCTCTCTCTAAAAACCAATAAACATATCCTTGGGTAAAGATTTAAAAAAATGCCAAAACCGGTTTGGCTCAGTGGATAGAGCGTCGGCCTGCGGACTGAAAGGTCCCGGGTTTGATTCCGGTCAAGGGCATGTACCTGGGTTGCGGGCACATCCCCCATGGGAGATGTGCAGGAGGCAGCTGGTCTATGTTTCTCTCCCATCGATGTTTCTAACTATCTATCTCTCTCCCTTCCTCTCTGTAAAAAATCAATAAAATATATTTTTTTAAAAAATTTAAAAAAATGAAACGGCAACAACTAAAAATGAACGTTTCTTTCTCTCCTTCCCTCTCTCAAATCAATTAAAATTTAGAATAATAAGTAAGAATTTAAAAGACAAAATAAAAATAGAGATTCCTATGACGCCCTCTTCAGGTTAAATTAAGTTGCTAGAGCTGTTGGTGGCAACCCACAGCAGTTGTTCCTAGTGATTTGACCTCGGCTCAGGAAAGTGTTTTTTTTTTTTAATTGATTTCAGAGAGGAAGGGAGAGGGAAAGATGGAAACATAAGACAATCATTGATTGGCTGCCACTGCACACCCCCTACTGGGGATCCAGCAGCCAGACATGTGTCCTTGACTGAAATCCAACCCTGTACCCTTCAGTCTGCAGGCCAATGCTCTATCCACTGAGCCAAACTAACCAGGGTTTACTGTTCTTTTAAAAAAAAGATATAACAAATAAATACATGAAAATAGCCAAAATTGATAGCCAATTAGGCTGAACATATGATCACACATTTTACCCAATATACAGATATCTAGCAAATACACATCTGAAAAAAAGGCTCCCCATAAATCTGTTGGGAAATGCAATAAAATCACAGTGTGTAGCACAACAAAGTTATAAAAAGGGTTGAAATAAAGAATGATTGACCAAACCAAATATTCTCTAGGATGTAGAGCAGTGATGGTGAACCTTTTGAGCTCGGCGTGTCAGCATTTTGAAAAACCCTAACTTAACTCTGGTGCTGTGTCACATATAGAAATTTTTTGATATTTGCAACCATAGTAAAAAAAAATGTATATTTTTGATATTTATTTTACACATTTAAATGCCATTTAACAAAGAAAAATCAAGCAAAAAAATGAGTTCGCGTGTCACCTCTGACACGCGTGTCATAGGTTCGCCATCACTGATGTAGAGGAACTGACTCTCTCATATATTGCTGGAAGAATGTAAAAAGTATAATCAGTTTATACCGCAACTTGCTAATACTGTTAAGTTAAATATTCATAGGACTCAGACTATTCACTGAGTTATTGACAAAAGTAAACAAAAACATATCTATATAATGATACACATACGCTTGTACCAGCTTTATTTTTAAAAATCTATTTAAAAATAAGATAAAAATCTATTTATTTTAGAGATAGACAGTAATAGAGACAGAAACATACATTTGTTTTTCAAATGTTTATGCATTTATTGGTTGATTCCCCAATGTGCCCTGAAAGGGGATTGAACCCGCAACCTTGACGTATCAGGAGAGCGCTCTAACAAACTGAGCTACCCAGCCAGGGCCCAGGTTTATTTTCAATAGTCAGAAAGTAGAAATAACCCAATGTGCATGTACAAAATGAATGGATAAACTAATGGTTTATATATTTGAAGGTAATATACTCAAAGATAATATTTCTCTGGAAAAGAAATGAAGAGGTACTAATACATCATTAAATGCATCTTCAACTATTTATGCAACAGAACTGAAGGCAGAAAATCCACTTTTATTGCCATCATATAAATTCTATGAAATGCAAAGTCAGCTATTAAAATGAAAAGTAAATTAATGACAAGGAGAGATTATAAAAGGACATGAAGTAAACAGTAACACATATGGTTAGTATTATGACTATGGTGATGGTTTCAGCTTAATACATGTCAAAATTCATCAGATACTATACTTAAAATGTCATTTACCACATGTATATTATACCATACTAATAAAGATTTTTTAAAATGTCTCAAGATTTAAAAAATTATCTTCAACTCTTTAAAAATACAGTTTGCAACTCTATATTCAATCCACGTCCTCATAACCCCTGGGGGTCAGTCTTTCTTAGTGACAACAAGTATATCAAACAATGGACTTCCATTGAAATCAACAGGAATGCCGGCTGGGTAACAAATGTCATATCCCTGGAATGTGACCCCTTTTCTTTTCTTTTTTTTTTTTTATATATTTTATTGATTCTTCACAGAGAGGAAGGGAGAGAGATAGAGAGTCAGAAACATCGATGAGAGAGAAACATCGATCAGCTGCCTCCTGCACATCTCCCACTGGGGATGTGCCCGCAACCCAGGTACATGCCCTTGACCGGAATCGAACCCGGGACCCCTCAGTCCGCAGGCCGATGCTCCATCCACTGAGCCAAACCGGTTTCGGCGACCCCTTTTCTTTATCTTTGACTTCCTGCCTGGGCATCAGTGGTCTTGAGGTGAACATCTGAGACCCTATAGAAATTCACACATACAAAAAAAATTTTTTTTAAGTGTTGACATTTTCTTTTATTTTTTAAATATATCTTTATTGATTTCAGAGAGGAAGGGAGAAGGGATAGAAACATCAATGATTAGAGAATCATTGATTGGTGGCCTTCCGCAGGCCCCGTACTGGGGATCGAGCTTGCAACCTGGCCATGTGCTCTGACCGGGAATCAAACCATGACCTCTTGGTTCATAGATCGACACTCAACCACTGAGCCATGCCAGCCAGTCCACAAATTTTTTTGTAAAAAATAGAGACAGAAACATCAATGAGAATCAACCCTAGCCTGTTAGCTCAGTGGGTAGTGCATCAGCCTGTGGACCAAAGGTTCCTGGGTTCAGTTCTGGTAAAGGGCATGTACCTTGGTTGCAGGCTACTTCCCGATGGTCAGGTCCCATGCAGAAGGAAAGCAGTAGATGTGTTTCTCTCACATCAATATTTCTCTGTCTTTCCCTCTCTGTAAAAAAGATCAATGGAAAAATATCCTTGGGTGAGGGTCAACAACAAAAAAATTAAAATGATGAGAAGTACTGATTGGCTGCCTCCTGCACATGCCCTACTGGGGATCTAGCTCACAAGCCAGGCATGTGCCCTGACCAGGAATCACACTGTGACCTCCTGGTTCACAGGTCGATGCTCAACCACTGAGCAATACTGTCCAGGCCTAAAAATCTTTTGATTATCTTCGATGAAAATGATGTAAGTCTCAGAAGATAAACAAGCCTGGAGATCCTCAGATTTGCGTACACGGATACATTCTTTTTCGCAGAAACATTTCTGGATGCACATTTAGAAGAGGCACATTCCATCCAGTTGGATGCAGTCTCCAACAATACCAATTAGGCCAGTGATTCTGTAGAAATCGTGGTTTTCCCCTCACCCCTACGTCCCCACAACCAGTTGCCATCAACCATGTAATTGTAGACATACGGGCACATGGCTCTTTATAAGAACTTGGAAAATAATTCCCTTCAAAACTATTGGCATACCTTGTGAACAAGGTATAAATTAATGCTGCTCCCAGAAGCACTTGAGGTTGCAACACCTGACCCTCCTTAGGGTGATTTCTGAGGCTCCTAAAGTTCATAGCATTTAGGCTTCACATGACCAGAAAGCCCTGCAATAGTAACGCAAATTTGCCAAAAACCTGGTGAGCTAGTTTCGGTCACCAGGACATCCCCTGTGATACAGAGGAATTTTGAGGCCCCCCAATAAAAAGTTGTTTGTAGAACCCAAATTTGCTTATAAGTTACGCCACGCATTAACTAGGATACCCAAGATTGAAGAGTCCTTAAAACAGTAAGATACTCATTATGTTACGAACCAAAGGAAGTCGGACCTGGTACTTCTTGCGTTGGTGACTTGGAAATTGGAAATATTCGTCACAGGTTTCCAAGGAAACCAGGTCCCTGAAAAAGTCCTTCTCAAGCTGCCAGTTGAATTCAGATGACGTTCTCTGGGTTATCACCGAGTCAGGTCCATTCCCCAACTATTCAGAGTGAACAGAATGCAGATCCCCTAAGTGCTCAGGCCATTTCTAATTTCCTCCAACAAACCAAGAAACAGAGTAAGCTGCCCTGAGCACATTAGTCTGGTGACTGATGCAATCTGTGGGAATCTTCTAGATGTTATCGGTGAAACAGCTTCGACCAGAGACATCTGTAGTGACATAAATCTGGCAAGAGATGTGTGTAGATCAGAAAGTGCAACGTAGACACATATGCTTCCCACATAACTAAAACTTATGGGGAACCTCCCTACTGTTGATGTTTTATGCCTGAAATTAAATTCAGACAAACGGAACCTCAGTGTTTCCTCCAGTGTTACTAACACTGAAAACAAAAAACACAAGCAAACAAACAAAACCACCTTGGAAGGCCTACACATCTAAGGCCTTCCCCCAGTGTGAACTCTCATGTGCTGAGCGAGGTTAGATTTTCGGCTAAAAAATTTGCCACATGCAATGCAATCAAAAGGCCGTTCTCCCGTGTGAACTCTCTGATGATATTGGAGGGTGGAACGAGAAGTAAAAGATTTCCCACACTCGCTGCATTCGTAAGGCCTTTCTCCTGTGTGAGATCTCTGGTGAATAATGAGGTGAATTCTTTGGGTAAAGGATTTCCCACATTGACTGCACTCATGAGGCTTTTCTCCTGTGTGAACTCTACGGTGTCGAATGAGTATGGAGCTATTTGTAAAACTCATCTCACATTCATTGCACTTGTAAGGCCTTTCTCCTGTGTGAACTCTCTGATGATATCCAAGGGCAGAGACAGAAGTAAAAGACTTCCTACATTCACTGCACTCATAAGGCCTTTCTCCAGTGTGAATTCTCCTGTGTTTAGAGAGGTACGAATTCTGGCTAAAGGTTCTCCCACAGTCAGTACATTCGTAAGGTTTTTCTCCCGTGTGAACCCTCTGGTGTTGATTCAACTGGGAACTATCCCTAAAAGATTTCCCACATTCATTGCAGTCAAAAGGCCTTTCTCCTGTGTGAACTCTCAGATGACAGCGGAGGGCGGAGCTAGAGATAAATGACTTCTCACATTCATTACACTCATAAGGCCTTTCTCCAATGTGAACTTTCTGATGATAACGAAGGGAGGAGCCAGAGGTAAAGCATTTTCCACATTCACGACACTCATAAGGCCTCTCTCCTGTGTGAGATCTCTGGTGTATATTGAGATGATTTCTTTGGGTGAAAGTTTTCCCACATTCACTGCATTCATAAGGCCTTTCTCCTGTGTGAACTCTGCGGTGTCGAATGAGTATTGGTCCATTGGTAAAAGATTTCCCACATTCACTGCACTCATAGGGTTTTTCTCCGGAGTGAACTCTCTGATGATAACAGAGGGCAGAGCCAGAGGTGAAAGATTTCCCACATTCACTACATTCAAAGGGCTTTTCTCCAGTGTGAACTCTCTGGTGTTGGGAGAGGTAAGATTTGTGGCTAAAGGATTTTCCACACTCACTGCACTCATAAGGCCTTTCCCCTGTGTGAATTCTTCGGTGTATAATGAGGTGATTTATTTGAGTAAAAGATTTCCCACAATGACTACACTCAAATGGCCGTTCTCCTGTATGAACTCTCTGATGATAACGGAGGCCAGAGCTAGAGGTAAAAGACTTTCCACATTCATTGCATTTATAAGGCTTTTCTCCACTGTGAACTCTCTGATGATAACGGAGGGCAGAGCTGGAAGTAAAAGACTTCCCACATTCATTACACTCAAAAGGCCTTTCTCCTGTATGAACTCTCCCATGTTCAATGAGGTCCAAGTTCCGTTTAAAGAACTTCCCGCATTCGGTGCACTCAAAACTCGTTTCTCCAGAATAAACTGTCTGTTGTTGTGGAATAAGAGCAGAGCTTTGCCTGAAAGATGGTGCACATTCACAGCAGACGTAACAACTTTCTCCAGTGTGGCTTCTCTGAGGATAAATGAGGACAAATTTTTGGTTAAAGGATTTCCCGCATTTGCCGCACTTGTGCTGCCTCGCCGCAGAATGAATTCTTCGGTGTTGAGTGAAGGCTGAGCTTCCCCTAAAGGATTTCCCACAGTCGTCACAGACATGAATTCTGTCATCATCATGGACTCTCTGGTGAATAACAAGTGAGGATTTGTACCTGAATGTTTTCCCACACTCACGGCACACGAAACACTGTTTTTTGATTTGCACTCCCGAGTCCGGAACATGTGCGTGTTTGGGACTGAAGGCTTTCTCACATTCTTCCCTAGTACAGTTACTTTTTCTGGGCTGAAGAGTCCCCCTACTTTTGGAGATCTTGTCTGGTTTCTCTCTGGTGTGAGTGGCTTGTTGGAGATGTCCTGAGGAGGTCAGGCAGTCCTTTCCAACCCCCTCATGGGTAGAGGGCTTCCGTGACACATGGAAATTGCAGCTCTTTACAAACGAGGATCTATCCACAATGCTTAGGAGGAGTGTCTCTCCCGTGAGCTGCTCCTGGTCGTGTTGACAGTTTGCACTGAAATAAAATTGTTTTCCACATGCCCCACACCTCAGTCTGTGCAGTGTTTCCTGGTGCTCAGTCAAACGGAAGATATCTGTCAAGACTGGACCACACATCTCACAGGGGTGGGTCTTCTGGGAAGACTGAGATTCCCTTGAAGTCCTGGCCTGTGACACTCCCACAGGAATGCTCTGTTCAGATGGTGCCTCCACATTCTTTGTTCCACAACAGCAACCTAAGTGCAAAGAAATGATGGTAAATTACACGCTGACTTTATTGGCAAGGGGCAACCCAACCACAAATGTGTAAAAGTTCCACAAAAAAGAGCAGGGGTAACTATGATTATGTCAGATAACATGACTTTAAGTCAAAAACTGTCACAAGAGACAAAGAACTTCTTTATATAATGATAAAGCAGCCAAGTCATCTAGAAAATGTAACTGCTATAAAAGTACATATGTAACCAATATCAGAGCACCTAACTATATTTAAGAAGTACTAACTGATCTGAAGAAATAGACAGCAATGCAATAATAGTTGGTGACTTCAATACTCCACTTTCAACAATGGACAGATGAACCCAGACAAAAACATAAGTAAAAGAATATCGAACATAAACTTTTCTTAAGAGCAAATGGACCTGGCCCTGGCCAGGTAGCTCATTTGGTTACAGTGTGGTCCTGATATGCCAAGATTGCAGGTTCAATACCTGGTCCGGGAACATACAAGAATCAACCAATGAATTGATGCATAAATAAGTGGAACAAAAAAAAATCAGTATTTCTCCTTCTCTTCCTCTGCCCTTTCTAAAATCAATAAATAAAAAATTGAAAAACAACAGATATATACAGAACATGCAGCAGAATACACATTCTTCTCAAGTGCAAAATGAACATATGATATAACAAATCATATTAGGTCACAAAACAAGTCTTAACATGTTAAGAACCCAGTCAGTCACCGGTGACTGACACTATACTTTCCATCTGGAAGACAAAACAGGTTGGGCACTTAACGTGTTAACAAACTTAAGAAGGCTGAAATCATATCAAATGTCTTTTCCAAACAACATGGCATGAAACTGGAAATCATCAGAGGAAGAAAGCTGGAAAATAAGAAATATGTAAAATTTAAGCCACAAACTCCTGCAAAATCAATGGGTCAAAGACATCAAAAATACATATTCAGACAAATGAAAATGGAAACATAACACACCAAAATGCAACAAAAGAAGCAGAGGTAAGGTTACAGTAATAAATGCCTACCTTAAGATAAAAGAAAGATCTCAAACAACCTGCCTTTATATTTTAAGGTATAAAAAACACCTCGCAGGTTTGGTTCAGTGGACAGGGTGTCTGCCTGCAGACTGAAGGGTCTCAGGTTCAATTTTGGTCAAGGTTACTACCTCAGTTGCAGGCTCCTCCTTGGCCCTTGCCCTAGTCAGGGCCCGTGCAGAGAACAACAAATCAATGTGTTTCTCTCACATCGATATTTCTCTCCATCTTTCCCTCTCTATTCCACTCTCTCTCTAAAAATCAATGGAAAAATACTTGGGTGAGGATTAAAAAAAGAAGAAGAAAAAAGCAACAAACTAAGGTCAAAGTTAGTAAAGAAAGCAAATAACAAAGATAGGAGAAATAAGTGAAAAGGAGAGAGAGAAAAACAACTGAAAAGATTCATAAAAAAGAATTGGGCCAGAACTGGTTTGGCTCAGTGGATAGAGCATCAGCCTGCGGACTGAAGGGTCCCAGGTTCGATTCCGGTCAGGGGCATGTACCTGGGTTGCAGGCACATCCCCAGTAGGAGGTGTGCAGGAGGCAGCTGATCGAT